TGTATTGAAAATAAATAATTTAAAAAGCAAAAAAGAGAGAAGACATTACAAAACTATAAATATGTTGCTGTCATTTCAATAAATCCATATTTTTAAAAGGATTAGTTGTGCCGTTACTTTATTGCTTTCATTCACCTCCTGGAAAAAGGCACAAGGCAACAGGGCTCTCTTTGGTGTACAGTTTTGTCACATATTTTTAATTTACAGTAAGAATGATCTTACCTTGGGAAAAATGACACTCCTACACTAATTGTTTCTAGTAAAGCTTATGCATGTGGACTGTCACAGTTCAAAAACAAATGATCAAGAAAACAAGTCTGCACATTCAAAACCTTTTATGTATGCCATATGATCCTTACATAAAACAAGCCATCTTTTTTTTATTTAAAAACTGAATATTTCCAGTATAGACAGTAAAGAGTATCTTGTGACCTGTCCTTCTCCAGCTGGGTTTCAGAAGGGCAAATTAGTGAAAAGGGTATTCTTCCGTTCGATTCAGAGAGCAGTCATGCCAACTACAATGCAAACATGGCTTTTCCCACACTTCTTTGGGATTTCTGTGGCTTGTTTCCTAGTGACTGTATTTGCACCAGAAGCAAATGGCTGTATCCATCTGAAACAAAAGGAAATTGGCAGACAATTCCCCCCAATCCCCTCCCACTTCTGCTTTCTATCCCATTGTTTTAGTGCAAACCGTTACACAGAATTGACCTATTTCCACAGCTGCAAACATGTGCAAATCTTGCAAGTCCCGAATTCCTTTCAGTATAAAACAAAGGCAGGTGAAATGCATTCAAGGTCTTGTAATTGAGAGTTAAACATTATCATGAGATTAAAAATATATGCATTAATAACTATAAAATAGTGTGGGTATTAGTGTGAGAGTTCTCTGCTATCACAACATACTTGTTGTCTCTGTATCTTTTGCAAGCCATTGAATGCCTTGAAAATAGGTATTAATTGGTAAAGAAAGAAAAAGAATGTAGCTTTACTATTTTCCCCCTACAATAGCAATCCCCTGATCTATGCAATGGTTAGTATTCTCCCTCATCCTGAAGACAGCCTTGAGTATATATAATAAACTGAATACTTTTTCTTTTCATTTAGAAAATGTAAATTCCGTTTAGGGCTTAACGCTGCTAGAAAATAATGTATTTACATGTTAATTAAAGCTATTTACTTCTTAGCAAGCCGGCCTATAATAAGCACATTGGCATAGTAACCAGAAAGACATTAGCCGAACAAACAGCAGCAAAAATAGCCTGATATAGTCAAATTCCCTTGAGATTAATTTTCATCGAGAAGGACTTGACAGTGAGAAATTACTTGCAAGTTGTCACTTCAGCAGTCATAAGGGAATTTGAGATGGCTTTCTGACCATTGTCTTGTCTGTTAAGTTCTACATCAAGCTAATGTGGTGCAATGTTGTCTTGGAACTAATTAACTGTGCATAAATAATGCATCGGAAGAACAAGCGGCAGTAAGGTTGAATTGTGTCAGTCTACTCATTCCGTGAATTTATGCCTTTGAGGTGAGGGATAATTGCATGCAACGTATTCATCAAAATTTCCAAAAGTGTGTGTGTGTGTGTGTGCATCCACATGGAAATGAAGTTAGTGTCTTATGCAATTAGTAATTTATGTCCTGATCTAGATGTCATAGTTGCTATATAGGTGCAAGTATCATAATGATGAATTCCCCAGGTTCATCCTATTGTGAGAATTGGGGCCATGGTGACGGATGTGGAACCAGAGCTGGGTAGATCTCTATGATTGTCTGCCTCCAATTTATAAGATGAATTCCCTTGAAAGATATAGCCAGGGAAGGCTGTTCTGCGATGAAAGTTTTCTTTTTTCATGATTTACAGAAAACTAAATTTGTTTCAGGAAGATATGTCAAAATGGTCTTGTAAGTAAAGGCAGTGGAGAGGGCAGCACATAAAACTGTGGTTTGTATTTAGCATAGATCTGTTTGGATCTTTCTGATGCATCACCTCAGGGTTTAAAAATCCATGCCTACTTTAATTTCAGTGATGCTTAGTAATGGGAAAGCTGGATGATCATAGTTGCAGTTAGGGCAAATGTTTCAGGGTTGACCATGACTAGAAGCCCAATGCGGCTTCTGGCATTGTTTGCGTACAAATAATAAGCCTCTTGAGCATCCTATACCTGGAATTCCAAAATCTGCAATATTCCAAAATATTGAAATATTGCAGAGTGGCTCAGATAGTGCATGAGTGGCTCAGATAGTGACACTGTTACTTTTTGGTGATTCAATGTACTCAAATCTTGTTTCATGCACACAGTTATGTAACATCATGTGTATAAAGTTACCTTCAAGCTATGTGTATAAGATGTATACAAAAAATAAATGAATTCTATGTTTAGACTTAACTAGTTACTACAAGATATCTCATTGTGCACAAATTTATGCAAATACAGATACTACAGAATCCAGGGGAAAAACTCATATCTGAAACGCTTCCTATTCTAAGCATTCAGCTAACCCATACTCAGCCTGTAATCTGATGTTACCAATAGAGGAATGTTGTAAATACTCCTCCTGCTGCCCTTCCTAAGTACTGTTTGCATTTATAATCTACCCTGATCCATCCCCTAGTTGCAATATAAGTGAAGAGGTAGGTAGCACACTGGTGCTGTTGTGTCTCAGACTCTGTTACCTGTCATGTCAGCTAAGGAGGAATCCTGAAGCCACTGTTTTCAGAGAAGGCTTCTCTTGGCCCAAAGCTTTCCAAACGGTGTGTTGTGATATGATAGTGTGCCAGCTAAAGTGTGTAGGTGCATTGTATGAACGTAATGAGAAACCTCTGAGTCTATGTGAAATAGGCAACATATATATTTTAAAATATAAATGAAAGGTTTTTGTGAGATATGTTGCGTCTGCATATATTTTGTTTTAAAATTAGGTGTATGTTCATATCTCTTATAAGGAGTTGGTTTAACTTTTGGTTTGCAAGTAAAACTGAATTACTGTGTTTCTAAATGATGCATCTCTAAAAAGTAAGTCACTAACATGAAATATTTTCAAAGCCCTGCTATACACTGAGCACACCGCTGGCATGTAGACATACACTGCTTTAGCATGCAACCATTTCAAAGATCTACAGGCTATCTTTGATACTTGTTTGAGTTGTTTTCCGTCTTATATAAGGGACACCACTTACTACATTGTTTATAATGCAACTTGGGTATTTATTTATTTATTTATTTACTTTATTTGTATACCGCTCTTCTCAGCCCTTAGGCGACTCAGAGCGGTTTACAACAGTTTAGATATACAGAATACAAAATCATTATGCATTTAAAAACAATTACTAGTATTATATTGCATTACATTACAATATTACAATCTATGAATTTTGGTATTCACGGAGGTGTCTTAGAACCAAGCTGCACCAGGTTCCCTAGACTCACTGAACTTGGGCTTCAATGATGTCATAAACCCTTTGGAGACTATACTATAGCAATGCTTATTAGGGACCTTATCACATTCCATTGCTCGATGCAACGACAGCAGAAGGATTAGTCAGGCAGCATGGTGAATTCGACGGGCACCAAGGAAATTAGTTGCCCCATAGCGCCACCTTCCCCATTCCCCAAAGTGTCACTTCCTGGCTTCCACCTGTGCTCACCCTGTTGTAGGAGTCTTCTGTGTTCTCATTGCTCCCTCATACAACACTTTCACCACTGTTCAGGGATGGGACTCTGCTGGAAGTAGCTCCGTCCCGAACTGTGATGGAAGTGTCATACAACGGGTAAATTTGCCTGTGTGATGAAGTCCTAAGTGTCTTCATCCATATTAATATATCAAAGCAATGAAACATTCAAGTTATGTTTTACCTGAAGCTGATAACCAATAAAAACAAGAAGTCCCTTTTAGGACCCCAGTGCAGTCTCAACAGGTTCCCTAGATCCACTAAGTCTGATTTCTTTTCAACAATTTATCCATCTTTCATTTCCTCCAGCCTTTTTGTATGCTCAGCTTTTATTGATCGCTTCAAACTGGTTCTTTGTTGCTGCTGCTTAGGTTTTTGCTTTTGAAAAATTACTTTTGTATTGATTTGGCTGATTAAACTCAAGAGAACCGCTCTGAAAGGATTTGGCTTGAAAAATAACTGTATAAATAGTCTAAATAACAGCTTGGCTATTTAAAATATTATGCCAAACTGTATCTGGCATCCACATTACACAACAGGTTATGATTCCTGTTTGCCAGCTAATTGTAAATCATGAATTGATATGAGGCCATTAAAGCACTCTCATTTTATTGGAGGTATTTTGTGAGTAAATACTGTGTGGACTACAATATGTAGCAAATTGGCATAGTGCCTAGAGTATTTACCATTCTTTTCTATAACTCTACTAAAGTATTTTGTAGTAAAGAGGTTCGTTTTGCATGGATGCAGTTGGCTTTACTGATGAAGACCAACAGTTTTTGTTATTCATGGAGATACCAAGAGTTTCCTTGGTCATTTGGTTCTCTTATCCTTTCTCACTTAAAATACTTTGTTTATTGAACTACAAGCATATTCAATAAGGTTCAATAAGATCTAGCTGACATTTCTTACAGAGACATTATTTAGCTGATAAAATTAAAAAAAAAACCTTGACTGCAAAATATTTTGCTGTATTTATTTTTATTTTTTACATGTTAAATTTAATAGCTAAGGAAGTGGATTATAATCTACAGAAAATTTAAGTCTTGAAGGTGTTGTGGGACTCTTTTCCTTTCGATGTTATAGTTAGTATTGTATGGTAAAGGAACATATGCCACTGGTAGAGCGCCTCCATTGCAAAGGTCTCATGATCCATTTCTGGCATGTCCTGTGAAAATGAGCAGGTAGCAGGTGATCAAAAAGACCACTGTTTGAAACATTTAGGCAAAGAAGACAATATTGGGTTGGTTGTAGAAAAGGTCTGATCAAAAATAAGGTAGTTTCCAATGTTTCTAATTTCTCTTCATTGTTTTCCCCTTTTTAGGATGGCTCTGCCACCCCCAAGTTACTCTTTTGTTGCATTTCCACCACATACAAAAGATGGCCTTGTAATAGTGGGGAAAAATTCTGCACGGCCTCGAGATGAGGTACAGGAAGTCGTCTACTTTGCTGCTGCTACCCATGATCCAGGATGCAAAGTTGAGGTAAAGATAAAAGCTTTGGTTCTACTTAATGTGTTGTTTGACATAGGTATTTTTTTGTCAGAAATTGTTTTTATTTTTTCATAATCATCCAGCACCGGATGGAGCCCCCGGTGGCGCAGTGGGTTAAACCCCTGTACCGGCAGGACTGAAGACCGACAGGTTGCAGGTTCGAATCCGGGGAGAGCGCGGATGAGCTCCCTCTTATCAGCTCCAGCTCATCATGCGGGGACATGAGAGAAGCCTCCCACAAGGATGATAAAACTTCAAAACATCCGGGCGTCCCCTGGGCAACGTCCTTGTAGATGGCCAATTCTCTCACACCAGAAGTGACTTGCAGTTTCTCAAGTCACTCCTGACATGACAAAAAAATATCCAGTACAGGAGGAATCCCTAATCTTTGATCTGGACTAGGTTTCAATTTGTTTGCCCTCATCTACTCCCTTGCTGACAACAGACATAGCTTTAGTCTCATGGCACCTTCTTTGGAATCTAATAGGAAGGAGATGTACAAAGTTGTTACTAATTTGGTCAACTTGCAGGTACCTGCTGTGAGAAAGCAAATTACTTTTCTCATCTGTTATCACCAAACATTCCTTCAGTATGAAGACTTAGAAGTGCAATGAGTACTCCTTTTTCAGGTGGATAAGAGGAGTTGCTGACTTAATAGTTCTTAGTGCTAGATCATCTAACTGATGATCAAGTACTTCTCATTTATAATTTCTGAAGATTCTGCTACACAGGAGTTCTGCTACAGTTCAGGTCCTGCCTATTTACATGACCATATCTCCCTTTATGAATGTGTTCGGACTTCAAGATCAGCTGGGGAGGCCAACCTTTCGGTAACCTTTGTAAATGATTAGAAATATCTCCTTAATGTGGATGAGGTCTTTGTTTTATGGATATACTCGGGTACTTTGGGTTTTATCTAGTTTATTTAATCTATTGGAACCACTGTGTTTTACATGTGTTTTTAACTAATATTTTTACTGTTTATTGTTTAATCTGTTTATTTGGTTTTATCTTGTTTTTCCTTTATTAACCTGTCATTTATTTTGTATACATTGTTTATTGTGTTTACTTATGTTGCTGCCTGAGTCCTTTTGGGGAGATGGGGCAAGATAGAAATAAAGATGATGGTGATTGTGATGATGATGATTATCCCAGTATTGCAATTTGGCCATATTATTTTAAGGGTCAATTTTAGCGAATCATTGACTTCTACCTTTCTAGGAATCATGGAATCCTCCCAAAATGGTGCTTTTATTAGCCTCTGGGAAATGCTACACATTTAAAAAACGAGGTGTGCAACAATTCATTGTTTTGTTTTGTTGAAAAAATATATGTTTGGGGTTTTTACTTTTTAAAACTAGGCTGTACCTTTCAGTTTTGTCCTGGGAGTAGAAATTTGCCTTCTAAGTTCATCCTAGGTGCCTTGAATTTCTCAGGATTTCATTGACCAGCTTTAAAACTGATGTCTCCATAACTATTAGGCTACCTTGTCACAAGAGGGAGGCTTCCCAGGGGGAGGCCCCCCCAGTGCCTTTTGCCAGCTGACACGGTGATGCTTTCCCCATCATGCAGGGGAAATGTCCACCCAAATAGAGCAGAAGCATAGTGGTTCCACTGGAATCAGCACAATACAGGAACCCTCCCGTGTTGGGATGAAAGCATCCGGCAACCACCATTGGAAGTCACAAAACATCGTGCAATGTCCGATATCAGGCGCCATCCTCTAGATGGGGTGAAAGTGTCCTAGGATGCTAAGTTCACTCCATCTTATGAGGTCTTTAGACATAATTGTGATTTGCTAATTTAATTCTGAATCATCCAGTTGCTCTAGAATTGTTAGGCTAGCCACGCTTTCTGCCACCTTTTGCAAGTGATGTTTATAATGAGCTACATGAATCGTTTGATAAGTTGGTGTGGCATCTTTGGGCTGAAAAAGAAGGAGAGAGCGAGAGTGTGTGTTCGTGTCTTAAGTATGAGAATTTGCTGGAAGGAACTAACTTTGAGATAAAACTAAAGTGAACTAGGACCCCACAGGCTTACTTGGAAGTTATTTTTTGAAAATAAGGTAAAGCTCATTGGCATGAAGCTCATCGGCATGCAGCATACACAATTGGCTCTCCAGTTTCACAGGGATTAATTAGGAGCACAGTATCTGTCTTTGCAAGAGTGGAAAAAACACTTTTTAAAAACTTGAAACTTTAAAACCTTGACAACCTAGAGATTCCTGTGAAGAACACATTAGTGAGACCTGTAAATGTGGAGAACCAATTGTATGCTATAGATGTCAGTTTAGCCCATAGAGAAAAGAGTCCAACTATTGCTGATTAGTATGGTTTATCTTTCTGCCTCATTCTCTCAGTTCTTACCAGCATTTACACTCTTTTCTTTCTATTTTGCAGTTTGGCACCACTTTAATTGCCATGGCTCAGTGTTGGGATTTGTAGTTTGGTGAAGCATCAGCATTCTTTGGCACAGAGGGCTAAATGCCTTAAAAACTGCAAACCCCACGATTCCATAGCATTCAACCATGTCAGATAAAGTGGTGTCGAATTGCATTAAGTCTACGTGTAGATGCATCTTAAGATACCTGTTTCTCTTTCCAAGGTTAGCAAGGAAAGTGCACATTCTATAAAGCATATTCTAATTGTTTCTATTGTATAATAAAATGGTTTTAAACAACAATCAAAATAAAACCCACAGTCCAAAAACGTTGGCATTTTTGCCTGCTTTAAATGGCACCGTTTTGGACTGCACTCCAGTAAACTAAATTTGGGTGATCATATTTGTTGGGTTTCCTGTGAGATTTCTGTGTGTTATAGGGCCAGACATATGTTTTTTGGAGGCATCATGTCTGCTTGGAACCAGAGATCTTATGGAAGAAAAGAATGACTGTGGATAACCCTGGCAGTGTGTTTCCATGGGGACCAGTCTCGATCATTTCTTTCTTCCTCCATTCAGCTTATTTTATGGGATTCTTTCCGTTCCTTGTCTGTGTGCTAGGGTGATAAAGCTTATTTGACACGTAGACTGTTGGTAAGTAGGACTCCTACAGAGAACGGCCTCATTCCTGCTGCGAAAAAGCGGGTGGAGTTTCATTCTTCAGTGCATGGAAATGACAGGAAAAGTTTGCTGTCTAAACTTGTTAAAAGTACTTGATTTTATAAACCAGTATAGTACTGTCTATAGTAAAATATTTTATTTAAGTATCTAAATGCAAATTTTGCAATGCAAATTCACTTTACTATTAAAGTTGTCCTTTTACATATTATTATTATTATTTATTGGTGTAGGCAAAAGGTATTCTTAAAGGCTATGTCTTGGGGCAGAACTTTTTCATCTTGTGATTCTACTTTTGATAGAGACATTTTTGCACGACCCCAGATATAGGTATATAAAATAGGTATACAAATCAAGTAATTTTTTTCAAGCCATGATGGAATGCTTGGTTTGCAGCCTGAGTGGCAGAAAATGCTGTTGCACTTTCTGGGAGAGAAGGAGAAGCCCCCAAGGAAGAGCAGAAAAAGAGGCCCAAGAGGAGGCACCACTAACCACAACCCCTACGGCCCTGCTCCATCACCCAGGGGGACCTGCCTGTTTGTGGGTGGGCTGGTGCAGGTGGCCTTTTGGGACCCTCAAGAGGAGAAGGAAGATGATGTGGAAAAGAAGGAAATCAGGCCTTCTCTGCCCAAGCTCCCTAAGTCCGGTCAGATGTCTCCCCCGAGCCCCTAAATTGGGTGCCATACAAGCCCAACACTTCAGGCAGTCCTTAGGCAGTCTCCAACTGGAACACTTCATCCCCCTGAAGGCCCAAAGATCCCCCCCCCACATACATAACCCAGTGCCTCCACGACCACAAATCCAGAGGAAACTATGGTCCAACAACTTGGACACCATGGATTAAGCTGCAAAATTGCCTCCACAAATTTACCATGCAGGCCATGCATGTGCAGGGGCCTTCCTACCTTCCCATAGTACCTGGATAATGTTTGAGAAGCACAAGGAAGACATGGGCGCAAGTGCCTTCCCACCTCTTCATCCTCTCTACCTGTTGCATGGTTTCTGTTACATGCTTCATACCAGTGCAAATTCTTTGCGTACTTCCACATTTCTATAAGAAGCTCAGGACAGTCTTTCCAGATTGAAATGGAAGGAATAGGTTTGGAAAAGAGATGGATATCCTATAATGTCCTTATGAGAATTTGGTTGTTTGTAAATTGACATGATGGAAAATAACAAAGATACAATTGGCAGGACCAGAAACATCACCAGAAGAAGGCTCTGTCATTGCATGTTGTCACTGAACAGCCACTTACAGAACTAAGGTGCAAAGGCTAAAACATTGGTTGATTGTGAACTTGTGAACCTTTTGCTGCTGCCACAAAGCCTTTACCTCCAGGGTTTAAAATATTTAATTCTAAATAGCATCACTATTTTTCACTTTTGATCTCTCCAGCTAAAGCACTTCAACTCCCAGAAATCCTAGCTAGCATACCAGCTGTTTGGGATTGTGGGAGTCCAAAACACCTGGAGGACCAAAGGTTGGGTACCACTGAGCTTAAGCAAACAACATGAATATTTTACCTGCAATGCTGGTAACACTGTCCTGCATTGATGGAAATGTCAAGACCCAAAAATACATTTTGATGTCCATGGAATTGGGAGATTCTTCCTCACTCAATCCTTTTGGAACTACAGTATTTGTGGTGCCACCCCCCCCCCCCCCCCCCCCCCCCCCCCAGTATTCCACATAACTTTTCTCATGGTTCACGAGTGCAGATAGGTTACTGATGCTGGAAACTGCCTGATAATAAAGATTATAGGCATTTTTTTATCTCCTGTCATGTCTCTAAGTGTGTTTATTTTCCAAAGTCCCCCTCCACTATCTTTTACTGCGCAATGAGTTAAATCCTTGTGCCGGCAGAACTGAAGACTGACAGGTTGGTGGAGGTTCAAATCCGGGGAGAAGGCAGATGAGGTCCCTCTCTCAGCTC